GAGTATCTCAGTTGTTGACGGTATCAACAATGGATTTGTAACTGTCATCAAGACCATCAAGAACTGTCTCGATGAGATCTTCTTGATCAAGTGGTTTGCCTAAAACTGCAAGTTTATCGGCACGACACTTGATGAACTGCATGTAATCGGAGACGCCTCTTGTTCCGTTGGTGGCATTCTTCAATTGTGTCTTTATCTGCTTGATGTGTCCCCTGGAGGGTCTTGCAAATGTATTGGAGAGAATTGTCCATGCCTCTTGACATGTATTGGCTTGAGTGATGAGAGGAATGATCGGCGCGGTGAGCGATCCGACAAGAGCACTGAAGAGCAGTTCGTCTTGTCGAACCCATGTTTGGTATGCTGGATTAGGAGTGTTTTTACCATCTTTGGAAATGGTTGCTGGTGGGCATGGGAGTGATCCATCAATGAATCCTTCAAGGTTGTATCCAATGAGCGTTGCATGAAATTGAGTTTCCATGAGAGATAATTAGTGGTGGAAAGTTTGACTGTGTTGTTAGTATTGATGGCTATGGGAGGTTTATTGGGTTCATGGATGTTCTGGACTACGACTTCTGTGGTTGGGGAAGGATTTGGAGCAGCCATTAGGAGTCGTAGGAAGAGGAAATATGAGGGCTCAGGAGCTTAAGAGCTCTGATACCATAAAGAGGATTTGGAAAAGTTATGGCGCACTTTTTTCATTGATGAGCTTGCGCATATATACATGAATTTCAAAATACAAAAGTCAAACTTCCCTAATCTAGGTGATCTCTTGAATCAAGGATTTTCCTCAAATCAAGGCCTTTACAGAGATTGAAAATCTAAACTAAGAAACAAATAAGATAAATACAGAAAATACAAAATTACAATTATGTACATTATCCAATATCGAGCTGAGAATCTGAGATGAGCATATTTAACAAGGATAAATGACATAAATCTCTAGATATTAGTGTTTTTTTTACGATTTCATTTTATTATAGAATTATCTAAAATCATGTGTACAATAACACTGCTATTTTGTTTAAAAAATTATTTTATAAGGAAAAAAGTCAAAAATACAACTCAAAGTAATAATAAAAAATATTATTTTATGCTACTCCAAAAAAATAAATAATTTTTATTCAATTAATAAAAAAATGTCACAATAACATTTAATTATTTTAAAATGAAAAATAATAAACTTGTATAAAACTATGATAAACCATACACTTTTCTCATTAAGTAATAATGTTAGCTCATTACCGTGCTCAATTTTAAGAAAAATAGTAAAAAATAGGCCAATATGAAAAGTTTAAGAAAGTATATAGGCTAATTTTTAGTTATAAAAATTAATAAGTCATAACTTGTTAAGTTATGGTTCATAACTAGATAAGTTATGGACAAACTTATCAAGTTATGGTTCATAGCCAGACAAGTTATAGGCAAAACCGTGAATAATTTGTCAAGTTATGGTTTATAACCAGACAAATTATGGACGAAAACAATAATTTAGCCTATTTATTAACTTATGTAAACTATTAACCTATTAATTTTAATTCATCTCAAATTTTAACTTATTTTTCTCTTTCTCTCAATTTTTAATGTGCGCGTATCATCATTCTAGGCCCAACTTGTTTTGAGCACCTCTAAAGGAAATCAGAAAGATGCGTATTCGTCCATTATTCATTGCAATTTGAAAATTGGCCAAGTAATTTGGTCCCAACAAAATAATAATTAGGAAAGCGGGGTGAAAAAGAGAAAATAATAGTGGGATACTTTGAGTGGGGACCTACACAAACCCAATGGATCAATTCGTTTAGGATCCGACGGATCAAGCTAAGAATAAATGGATTTTCTTCCTCTTCTCCTTTATTATTTATTTTTTATTTATTTTTAAGAACTAATTAAGCTAAGGACAATAAAATCGAGTACGTATATATTTCGTAGAACCCACCTAGAATAAGAATGACTTGCATCAATAATCCGACAAACCCAAAAGATTCAAAGGAAAAAGTTCCAAAAGGAAAAGTACTACAAATCATCAATATATTATCTACATACATATCTATCTATACGTCTATAAAAAACCCAAAATATTTTTCTTTTCTCTTTTAACATGTGTCATTATAAGAAAATTTCACCCTTTTGTTATTACACATAGTAGTATAGTACCATTTTTGTATTTTTTTTCTTGTTATTTTTTTAAACGTGAAATGATTTTTCACCTTTATTTTTTTCAATTTTTTTCTTTTTTTTTTCGATGTGTTTCTTTAAATACTTTTTCCCCCTCATTTTACACTTACTAAAATGATCTCTTTTATATTTATCCTTTTTTTAAACGCTCTTATGCAGTTTAATTCTTTTATTATGTGATACCTAAAAAATGTATTTTGTCGAAATACCACTTTTATCTTTTTTAACTATGCTTTACTCAAATATTTTATTTTCTTACTAAACTAAAGTACTCTTAAGGAATAATAAATTAAAAAAATAAAATTTTAGAAGAAATTTTACATCTTTATATCTAAAAAAATGTAAGATGAACACACAAGTGCGTACCATGTTTTAACTAGTTTAAACAAGAAAGGTAAAAGAGAAAATATGGTTTATCATGACTTTATAGATGCCTATTATTTATAACATTTTAAATAATTGGGTGTTATTGTAGCATTTTATTTTCTCTTTATATCTTTGAAGAGAAAATTATTGAACTTCTTCTTAGAAGTACATGGATTTAGATTTTTACTCTATACTCTTGATTGATACTCTTTTGACTAATATAATATTTGATTAAAAGAGATTAATTAAGAATAAGAGATAAAAATTAAGACTCATGCATTTAAGGGGTATTTGTCTCCTTTTCTCTTAAAAAAAGAAAAAGATTATTTACAAAAATTTTTCATGAATTATGACCCATGTAGCATTTTACCCTCGATCTTCAAAACGTAACACCTGTTCTCTCGAATTATGAACCATTAACAGAAAAGCTCATTCCATCAATATTTCTAATAGAAAAGTGACTCATATTGCATAACTTGAGGGTATTTTAGTTATACCTAAATGTTCTTAGAGAAAATACTACAAATTGTAAATTAAAACTTTTTAAGTAATTTATTTTAATTAATTAGAAAAGTAAAATGAAAAATTGTATTTTATTGTTTTATTTATTTATTATCATATTAAATTAAAATTAAAGTTTATTTTTTAAAATTATAAATATAAAAGTCATGGGTAGAAAATTTATTGTGCACCAAACTGTTTAGCAATAATTAATATTTTTTTAACATGTGTAAATTCCATCATAAATACTAACAAAAGGAGCATTTTTATTAATAATTAATAATTTAAGAAAACAAGTGTTGTTTTGCTTCCATCCAAAACGCCGTCTCGTTTTGCTTCCATCCAAAATGTTGTGTTGTTTTACTTCAAAAAATAATGTGTTGTTTTGCTTCAACAAAATGACGTGTCATTTTACTTTTACAACGTGTCGTTTTACTTTAGCAAAATGACGTGTCGTTTTACTTCAAAAAATAATGTGTCGTTTTGCTTTAACAAAAAATGACGTGTTATTTTACTTCAATAAAATGACGTGTCGTTTTGCTTCTATCAAAACGATGTTTTGTTTTGGTTCAACAAAACGCATGTCATTTTGCTTCCATCCAAAACGAATTTAGAAGAAATTTTTGTAATTAATTCAAAAGAAAAAGAAAAAGAGAAGCGTGGATCTGTTTGGATTCAAAGGTAATCGCAGCTGACCATGAGGACTCGTCAAACTCAAAGCAGTAATATGTGTTTTTTTTTTCTTTTCCTTTTTTTTTAGGGGAAAAAAAAGGCAGGAATACAAGTCGGATCCAACATGATTATCTCTTATCCTGATCAACCCCCACCAACCATGAACGCTTCGTCATCAAAGCGCGATTGAATTTAGTTACCAGCCACTCCGTTCTATGGATTATGGCACGTGGACGGGAGAAGCACGTGAGGCCTATCCTAATCTTGGGGTCCAGGGAACATTAATAAACGCACATTCAGATTTATAACAATATGCTAATTCATTACGTATTTAAATCTTCTATTCAATATTAAGTGCTAATCTATCATATATTTATTTCCAATTAAAAATGTTTATATAGTAAAAAATAAAATTAATCATAAGCAGGTAGGAATTCATAATTTCACATCCCCAAAGGAAAAAAAATTTTGTTAGTTCCCAAGAGTCCTTACGAAATTCTTTTTGTTTTTTTGAAAAATAATGTTTATTTCACGTAAACATAACACTCCCACACACTCGCAGGTCATACTTTCCCGTGTCTAGACTCTAGAGGGGTTAAATTCGGGTGTTTTTTACCCCGTTCATTTTGCTGATTTGAGTTTAGAATTCGAGTTGAGATATTATTTTATGTGAGAGATTTTTACTGTAGTAAAAAAATTAGATGTGATTGTTTGTGAGAGCTTTTTACTGTAGAAAAACTCGAATTCTAAACTCGAATTAGCAAAGTGAACGGAGTCTTAAATTATGTTCTCTCAATAAGATTGGGACACGTTTGTTAGCTGTCATGACTTTTGTAATTTTAAAGTTAATAGAATTTTTGAGGTTTAAATTAAACTCACACTAAATTAAAAAAATATATAAAATAAATATTTTTTTGATACATAGAAAAATTCCATCATTTTAATTTCCTTACAATAATATACACTCTAAATTAGGGGAATTTCTAATAGGCTAATTCTACTAATAATATTAATTTTTAATTATTAAATTATATTAAAATCACGTTACAATAAAAAAAGTATGCAAAACTCAAATAATTTTTAATATAAATTAAACAGTTGAAAAATAAAAAAATTACTAATAATTTATTTTTTTTAATCGTATTGAAAACTCCCTAATAATGGAAGGAAAAGAAAAAGCATACAAATAATCAGACACAAGAAAAACGACCGCCAGCGGAGACAATGGGGCCCACACACTCCCTTAAATTCAACTAAACTAACAAAAAAAAAAAAAGCAAGAAAAGAAAAGCAGAATATGCTTTCCTCTGCTCCGCAAATATCCCTTCCTCTTCCCTCGCTGCGATTACGGGTTCCTTGATAAATTAAAACATTTCTATCTTCTCCTCCTCTTTTCTTTTGCTGACGACAAAGATCATCGCTGATATTTCTCTTCATTCGCTTTCTCTCGCAGTCGAAGAAGTGAAACTGAAAAAAAAAAAAAAAAACAGAAACTATGGAGCTTGTTGGGGAGCTCTTTCTCACGGCCTCTCTCGCGGTCCTCCTTTCTTTTCTCGTCGCCAAACTCGTCGCCATGGCCATGGCGGTTGGTGATTCGGACAACAAACCGCTGAGGGTTTCCGATGAGGGCGTCGTTGAGACGGAGGTGAGGTACGAGGAGAGTTTGAGAGTTCGGAGTGCTGAGAGCGAGAGGAGAGTTGAATTTGTTGAAGAAGCCGTCGAAAAGGTCGATCGTTTAGGCGGGGAAATTTTGGAAGAACTGCAGCATAGTCAAGTGGAAGGTTTCGAAGGTCAACCGGAGACCGTTGGATCGCCGGGGGAGCGGACATCGGAGGGCGAAGAGAGGTCGTTGGATGAGAGAGCTTTGGACTTCAATGCTAAAGGAGTCGATGAAGCTGGCGCCGATGATGATTCAGCGGAAGAAGGTTCGGAGAATAGAGGAGTTGAAGAAACTAGTGCGAAATCGGCGGCGAACGACGTAGTTTCTCTGCAAACTGAAGAGGTCAGGGTTGTAAGAAGTGAATTGGAGGAAAAGGATGAAGTGAATGAGGTTGAATCGCATAATATCGGCGACGAGGATGATTGGGAAGGGATTGACAGGAACGAATTGGAGAACGATTTCGCCGCGGCCGTGAAATTCGCGGAGGCTGAAGCAAAGGACGGCGGTCGTCCGGCGGTCCTCGGGAGCCATGTACAGATGGAGTTGTTCGGACTTCGCAAGGTTGCGACGGAGGGGCCTTGCCACGAGCCTCAGCCTCCGGCTCTAGACCTCTCTGCCCGTGGCAAGTGGTACTACACTTTCTGTCGCCTTTCTTTGTTGCTATTTTTGTTTTGTCTTTTTATTTGTGACGGTGGGTTTAGGATATGATTGCATAGGAAATCTCGTATTAGTAGCTTTCTGCGTCGTGAATTGCCAGCGAAAAATTGTCTTAAACGAACGGGACAGTATGCAAATTGCCAAAAAAAGAAAAAAAGAAAAGAAGACAAAAAAAAGAGCAAAGCAGAGTAACTTTTGTTGAACTGAATTCGCTTGTTTTAATTACCAAAAAGAAAAAATTCGTTCTTTTGCTTGATAAATTGTTGAAAGATCAAAGCTTTGGGTAAGCAGCCAGCATAAAATCTTAGGAAGAGACTGGAATGGAAGTTGAAATAGACCCCAGAATACACTACATAATGCAACAACGATGTGGTCCTTTTGACCATTTCCCAACGTCTTGTAGCTAACATGAAACAGAATGGAGGATGCAACACCTTGTGTTCACTTGGGTGGCGGTTTCTGAATAATGCTTTTGGGCTTGGCTTTCCAGCATTTTCAGGATCGCTCCTACATTTCTGTGTTATCATCAGCCTCCTTGAATCCTGACATATTAGTTCTTCGAGTTCGAACATAAGTTTTAATAGATGGTAATATCTCCCGAGTCCTGACATTTAGACAGATTAGTGGTCGTTCCAATGTATCAATATCACAGACATTTCCTTCAGTGCAGCAGGCCACCTCAAAATCACTTCCGTCTTAATCTGAAGATAAATTTTAACCCAATACTTACCTCAATCTCACCATCCCTAGAGCCCAACTTTGGACGCAAAAAAGTTTCACCAGAAGATAACAAATTTAAAAGAATCTAAATATGCGAAACACCGAACGGGCCTATACCAAATTACACGGTATAGCTTGATAGCTAGTTATAATAACAGGGTTGACAGCTGCTATGTGTGAGTGATGGAGGGCACTGGTTACGTTGTGCAAGGAATGCTTGGCAAAGGCAGGGAAAAATGACTCCAGAGATGGCAATGGAACAGTATGTTACCATTCTTTCAGAGAACGTTCCGGGTTGGATGGACGATCATTTTGCTGTAAGTCTTTTGCTGTTAGCCATAGTTCTTCCTAATTGTCGAGTGATTTAAACCTTGAAGAATGTTTCAATCAAAGTGGATTCTTTTTCTCTTTTTGTTTTGAGGTTTTCAGGGAGAGAGTAGAGAAAAGCCTTCGGAGGAAGAGATGGCCGGCACTGCTGCTCCTGTTTCTGGCACATTATTGCACGCTCAACCAAATATTGCAAGCGAGAGGTGGTCTAACTGAATTTTCTTATTAGTCTACTTCTATTAAATAGTAGAATAGCCGTAAAGTTTTTTCATGCTAATTTTTGCTACCATGCTTCATATTTCTTCTAACTTTTTTGTGTTACCCCTGTAGGGAATCGAAACTGAAGTTTGGAGCTGAGAAAGATGATTTTACTGGGGCTTCAGACTTGGAGAACAGGGTAGGAATATATACGTTCAATTTGTTGCTGGTATCTGTTTTCCCCAAGTTGTCTCAATTCTTATTTGGAACATGAAGTTTTCGCGCAATTATAAAGGCTTTATTTCCACTATATAATTGCCCGTGTTTTTTCTTGTTTCTTTTTGTCATGGCTTGGAGTTATTTTTACTTCTCAAATCCCATTAATAGATTGCATAACATTGTTTGATTAAAAAAAATTTCAGCCCACAGGATGACAGCGTGGTTCTGCCTCTTGATTTTCCGGACCACAGGTGCTATTCTTTCGGTTTACTCAACTAAAACAGGAAAATTTCTTATGACGGATGGAAATAAATAAAAGGTGCTTGAAGTGCTTGTGGTTCTTGGGCTATGTATACTATCATTTAATTTATCTATAATTATGATGATGCGTGTATAATGCATACTAATGGCAATAGTATGGCAATAGTATGTTTTGTGCTTATGTGCATGTATATATACAAGATTTACCTATGTTTGAAATTCCTTTCCTTGTGGTTGAAGTTAAACTATTGATATACGTAAATCACTATCTTATGCAATACCTTCATCTTAATGTTTAAAATACTTTTTAAGTTGTCTTTGACCCTGACACTACGTAACAGATACAGAGAAAATCACGTGAAGTAACGTTCTTGAGGATCGTTAGTTGTGAATAATGATTTATTCAACTGCTAGTAGTTTCGTTCGAGTTTTAAACTGTGTAATGTTCACGCTCCTTGAGATTACGTATATCATTTGCAATTGAAAATTGGCGACTTTTTTAAGTTGAGGCAGAGCTTGTTCTATGGTTCTTACTCCCTAGATTAGGCAGTACACTTTTTTCTTGTCATTCTGGAAAAGGAGAGGCACTTCACGCCATAAATTGATTAGCCAATACTTGAAGATTTATTACATTAAACAGATTACAGTGGTGCAGATTCGTGGATGGCAGAAAGGAAAGGGACATTTTATTCTAATTCTATTCCCACTATTAAAACCATAGCATGCAACGTCTCTTGTTAGTCTTTGTGGGCTTTCATCGTCGACCCATCGTGATTGTGTATCTCATCGCGGGAAGTATGAGTGTCCCTCCGAGACATCATTGATCCATCATGGGCATATTCCTCACTACGGGAAGCTTCAGAAGGACGGCTGGTGAAGTGTGGGATTGAACTAGTGTGCGAGCCAGTTCCTCCACTGTTGCCCCTATGAGATTTGGGGCCAATGCCATTAATGCCACCGTTACCGTATCCTCCACCATACCCTCCTCCAAAGCCACCGCCATACCCACCACTGCTGCCATACCCGCCACCACCACCGCCACCGCCACCACCTCCGCCTCCGATCACGCCACCAATGTTGCCACCACCTGGCCCATAACCAGAACCGCCGGTGCCAACACCACCTCCATTTCCAAAACCCCCACCATTTCCTCCTGGCCCAAAACCAGGGCCTCCACCATTGCCAAAGCTGCTGCTGCCGCTGCTGGATCCTCCTCCATAACTACCAGCTGTAAGCCCTCGATAACGAGCCTCATTAGTCTCATGCCGATTCCGTAGCCTCTTACTCAAGCCGTTGATGTCATCTCTCAAGATCTTCCCTTCTCTTGCAGTTGCATAACCAAAAAGCTGCAGAACCAAGAAAATGAGAGTCCACGAAACAGTACTAATCCTCGCCATGATTCCTTGAAGAGCAAACTGCATATCATCAAACAAAAACGGAAAAAAAAAGTGAACATAATTAGGTTATGACTATATACAAGAGAATAAAAGTGCACGAATATGAGACAATAAAAGTCTTACGACTCTGCCTTTTGCCACTTGGTTGGGTGTAGAAGTAATGTTGTGCGGTAGTAGTATTGTTGCCAACATTTATATTGTCGTATTTTTCTTCTTACGGTTTTGGTGTACGAAAGCTGTGTAGAGGATTGAGCGGGGTATCACGCTTTGCAGCAAAACCGCGTGGTTAGATGAAGCGAGCGAGCTGCTTATTCTGGTGATAAGGGCGACTTGCATGACCTCTCGGCGCAAAGTTGGTGCATGTCCCGGGTTGCTCATCTCTTTCTCTGCCTTCCGAATAGAATCATATATTTTATTCGTAAAGGATCATATGTAGTTGTTCCTCATTGTTGGACTTGGAATTGAGGTCCACGATTTGAGACGAATATCTCTTGAAAGCGTACGAGTCATGATTTTTATTTTTTATTTTTTATTCATAACTTTTTTAGTTAAATAATTACACTAATAAAAGGATATTTATCAATTATAAGAGATAAATGTTCAGACTCATACACTCTCAAAAATAAATTCTCTATTTTTTTCCACAATTTTGAGGTAATTATCTACTTGAATATGGACATTGGATTAGCTCACTAGACTCCGAAACTTTGGGCTTAGGTCAGAATTGACCTTTTGTTGTCCCTATCATATTAAAAGATTGGGTAATTTTAATAAATGCTCATTTACACAAAATGATTATTTTTACCCTCCATGTTTGGGATATGAATATGTGTTTAATTCAACAATATTATTAAGTTGTCTATTTTATAATTACTGATATAATATAATTTTAAGAGAAATGCTAAGAACAATTATTTTGTCACTCTCTATAACTTAATACTTTCTCTTATTGTCATGTGGTATCTCATTTTTCTATGAAAAATTAGTATAATTATAGACCATTTTTTAGTTCTAATTACAATCCTGCCACTCAATTTTTTTATAAATAAAATATAATCTTGCCACTCATTTTTTTATGAATAAAATATATGTGATTGCCCACTGCTAATTACGAAAGTGCCATTGAGTCTTAAAGCCTTGTTTTTTTTTTTTTTTGTTTTAATCTTTTTTTTTTTTTTTTTTTTTTTTTTTTTTTTTTTTTTTTTATAACGGAAAATGCCATCCTTTTTTACGCTTTTTTCCCTTAAATTGTAACTACGTTAAAAAGAAAAAGAAAAAAAAATACGTTAAAAAGAACTACATAAGACAAATAATTAGACTGCTAGCATGTAAAACATATCCAATTATGAAAAAAAATATAATAATTGAACTATGCAAATTTAATTTCTAACGTAACTACATACAACTTTTTTGTAACTATGGTCAAATAAAAAGAACTGAAAGTACTTAAATATTAAGACAATTACCAACATAACATTTCAGAGTATCCAAAAAAAAAAGATGAAATAGAGAAAAAAATAATAACACTCCCTAATATTTTTAAAAAAGAGATCAAATAGAAAAAAAAATGATAACACTCCCATAAAAAAAAAGATCAAATAGAAAAAAGTTATATTTTTAATCAAATAGAAAAAAAAATTATATTTTTAGTTAAAAATTTTCCATCAAAATATTGTTACTCCTTTGAATTTCTTTAACTATTTGAAGAATTGAAAGCGGACGTTATGCTTTTACTCGTGAAGGCATCAGAACATATGATGATTAAAATAAAATTAGAAGATGATCATAGCATAAAAAAAAAACTTGACATTTAATTTAAGTTATTACGCTTTTAAGACATACATCTTAATTTCTCTGTAGCATTGATGTAAAACTTTCATACGATGCTAGAAAAATACTCCAATATATCATGGCCTTCCTGTTACAAAATATTAGCAATCCACATGATTACCTTAAAAATTATAACCCATTCAACATTGTATGGTTTATGCAAGGTAAAAATACTTACTATTTGATGCGAATCTTGCTACTTAAGAACACCAAGTTTTGGGGTTGAGTTTTGCTCATGTTGCAAGCCTATTTGTTTGTTGTCAATTACATATCTGTCCACAACCTGCTATGTTTTGGTACCTGAATAAAATACAGCACAAATTTTAGTTACAAGCATGCGAAAAAAAGGAAAAAAACAAAAAAAGGCTTGTAACACGTTCAAATACAACACAAATTTGGACATTAGGCTTCTTGGCATTTGTTTTCTCAGTGGCATTTGTTTTCTCCTTTAGCGTGACATGAAGATGATGATTGCTCTGTTTTCCTTAACGTGCCCTGAAGTCTGAAGAAGATGAAGAGGCTCGATAACAATTTCGTAATTAGTGATCAATCACATAACTTGTTTACTGCACTCTCTGAATTATATTTTATTCATAAAAAAAATTGAGTGGCAGGATCGTAATTAGAAATAAAAAAGTGGTTTATAATCGTACTACTTTTTATAGGGAAATGAGATGACACTTGACAAAAATAGTGAGTGATAAGCAGAAACTGATTTTAATATTTGATAAATCTTTTTAGAAGTGTTTTTTAAAGAATTTTTTAAGAATTTACAGTCAAAATCAGAAGCAGCCTAAAGACAATTTTAACTTTCAGATTATGAGGGAATCAACATAGTACAATTAATGAAAGTTTCATAATACCCATGATATCCCTAATGAAATTTAAAATTTATAATCTTTCTAATCTAAAATTCAGACTCGTAATATAATATAATATAATAGTACTATTGTAACAAATAATATCATAATTATATTAATAACTCTAATATTATTATTTTATCATATAATATGATATTATAATTATTATCTTATAATATA